CCTTTCTCGGGCTGCAGCCAGACCCCACGCATGAGTGTGGGGCTGCGTGTGGGGCCAGTGGCCGGTCCCGGCCCTCTGGCCCCGGCCCCCATAACCCCAGTGCCCTCCCTGGCCCCCCTCCTCCCCCCGGAGCCGAGGGGAGCCGTCAGCGCCGGCCAGCAGCGGTGATGGACGAGGCTCATTCCCTGTCTGCTGCCTTGTACCTCCCGTGGCCGATCCCAGCGCCCGGCCCTGGCGGCACCAGCCCCGACGCCCCGGCAAATTCCAGTGCTGGAGATACCGCAAGCCCAGGAGCCATGGTGATGGGCTCCCCGGCCATGGGGATGGACGCCCCAGCCAGGAGCGGCGGCAGCGATGGCTGGGGCTGGAGACGAGCACAGCGGGAGGAAGAAGGGGATGGGGATGACGGAGAGGAGGAGAGGGGAGAGGAGAGGAGGAGAAGGGTGGGCAGCCAGTGGATGTAGAGGTGATGGATGGACAGAGAGGCTGGACTGTGTGCAGTAGGGGGCTTGTGTCTAGCCCCATAGCTTGGGGGACAGGGGAACATTGCTCATTCCCTCCCTTCTTCAGCACCTCCAAGTGAACCAGCACAGGACTGATAAAAATATATCCTTTATTCTTCTCTAAAGGCTATCAGTGAAACCTGGAACAAAGCAGCATTATTATTATTATTAATTATAATTATTAATTATTATTATCTTTCATTATAAAAAACAGGGCCTGGGCCAGCAAAGTTTGGGGGGGGGGGGGGGGTGTGGCATCAAACCATCCACAATAAATATTGTATTTTACAGTAAGAAGGGGATGGGGGTCCCTGGGACGGTGCATACTGGCACCGAGCCCCCAGACCGGGTGCTGGCCCCAGGGTGGGCCAGGCCAGGCCAGGCCACAGAGGGTCACAGAGACAGCCATGGATGCCTTCAATCCCCACCAGGCACTCGTCATTGGGGGTGGCATAGACCCCCTCCCAGGGCCGGTGCAGGGGGGTCCCACTTGGGGGGGTTCACAAGCACTCGTGCAGCACCTGCGTGTTGGTGCAGTTGAGGCAGCTGACGTGGCAGCACCAGTGGAAGGTGCAGTTGCAGCGCTCAGTGACGCGCTGGGTGCGTGTGCGGTACCCGCGCCCACAGCACAGCAGCTCGCACCCATCCAGCCCCGGCGAGGAGCTGTTGCAGAACCTCCCGGTCGTCCCCGCCGTCCCTGTCTTCCCGCTGTAGGTGCAGAAATTGGGGGACTTCTCGAAGTAGACGAGGTCGTGGGGCGAGGGGGGTTTGTGGGCCGGGTTCTCGGGCTCCAGGTGATGCAGCTCCACGCGCGAGGCCCGGTTGCTGCCCTTGTTGCCGTAGATGACGCGGGAAGCCCCATCGAAGCGGTCCTTCAGGACGTCGCCCACAGCGCGGAAGGTCGGCAGCCGCATCCAGCACGTGCGCACAGTGCAGGAGCCCGACATGCCGTGGCACTTGCACTCCTGGCGCATCTCGGAGAACACCGTCTGCAAGAGGAAGGATGGGGAGGGCATGGGGCACCATGAGCTCCGGCATCCCCGCTGCCCAGCAGCATCGCGTCGTGCTCAGCCTGCCCAAAGCCAGGTGGGAATTCCCATTGTAACGGTTCCCAGTGTGTGCATGGGGACAGGGTAGGGTCCGCGGTGGCCGTGCCCCCCCCCCAGGTGCTGCCTGCAGCCCCCCTGTGCCCTCACCATGCGCCCAGCCTCGTTGTTGTGCAGGTTCATGAGGAATCGCAGGTCTCGGCCCTTCTCACTGGAGTCCACAAACTCCCTCCCAAAGAGGCGCCCGAAGTCGATGTTGTCGCTGCAGCCTCCCCAGTGCCAGTCAGGGCCCCCGGGGCCGCGGCGCCGGTAGTCACAAGTGCAAGACTCGATGGAACCCTCGGAGCAGGACCGTGCCACCGAGTGCGTGACACCGGCGCTGGTGATGGCGAAGATGAACGCGGTCTCCCGGCAGCCTGCGGAGGAGAGCAGGGCCTCAGGGTGCTGTTGGATGAAGAGGGGGCACCCAGCGGCACCCCTAACCACAGCCACAACGGGATGCTGATGGGCTGGGAGCTGGCGATGCCCCGTGGTGAACCGAGGGTGCTTTGCAGAGCATCCTGGCTCTGGGGCGCCGCGGGGGGGGGGGGGGGGGAGGGGGCGGGTAGCCCCACGCCACCTCCCGCCGCCCCGTGGCCTCACCCCGGTTAACGATCTTGCCGAAGATGTTGGGACCCTGCGAGGTGGGGCAGTTCCAGCGGCGGTTGCGGAACTGCCACTTGCACTCCTTGAGGGCGGTCTGGAGGCCGGAGCTGACGCTGTGCAGGATGCCGGGGTTCTGGCGGATCAGCTTGCGCTGCTTGCGGCTCAGCAGCTGCAGGCTGGGGTCCAGCACCAGCTGCACGTTCTTGGAGTCCGTCAGCAGGTTGGTGGACGAGGCCACGTTGATGATGCCCCTGCGGCACAGGAGGGGACGGTGAGCACCGGCATCCCGCTCCCTGCCTCAGCCCTCCCCTCTGATCCGCTACCAGAGCATCCTCCGACCCGCAGCCGCGGGTCACAGCCCCGTTGGTCCCCCCCGGGTTGCACCTGCGCGCCCCATCCTTGGCTACGGGGCAGCCCCCGCCGTGCCGGTGCCAAGCCCCGCTCCGCCCTCTGCTCCGGTGCCGGTGCTGCTGCCGGTACCGACGGACTCACCACCACCGCCCGCTGTTGTTCACCGCCAGCGTGTTGGAGAGGGAGGAGAGGGCCAGCGCCCAGAGCGCCCGGAGCGCCAGCCCCAGCGCGGCGGCTCGCATGGCTCCGGCACCGGGAGACCCGGCAGAGTGCGCGGGCGAGCGGCCGCCGGGGTATTTATGGTGCCGCGGAGCCCCCGGCCCGGCCGCTACATCCACGCGTGTTTCCGGACGCGCGGGGCGCAGGGAGGGCGGGCGGCTCCGCTGCGGGCGGGGTGAAGGGGGACGCGGGGACCGCTCCACCGGCAACGGGCTGCAGCCGATGCCCGGGGCGCGGCGTCGGGGCTGCGAGGCCCTGAGCTCCCTGCCCGGTCCCTGGAGCGCGGCGTCGGAGGTTCCGTGCGCGGTGCCCGCTGCCCGCTGCCCGGTACCGGTGCCGGGCGGTCCGTGCGCGGTGCCCGGCGGTTCCCCTGGGAGACGGCGCGGCTGGACACGGCTCGGCGCGGCTGGTGCGCAGCGCTCAGCACCCGGGAGCATCTTCCAGCCCCCTTCCCTCTTATAGGGGCGGCGCGGAGGGTCCCCGTGGGCCGGTCCCGCCGAACGGGGCCTCCCCGCGTCCTCGCCCTAACAATGGGGAGCGGCGGGGCCGCGGCACCTCTTATGGGGCGACCGGAGCTGCGGCGCCGGGCCTGTCCGTCACGGCCCGGATTAGCCCGGCGGGTGGCTGCGCCCCGGCCCCGTGCCCAGAGCGCGGCTGATGGGGCGGGGAGGGGGACACCGGCTGCCGCCCCCCGCCCTCCCCACGCACCGGCCCCGGCGAGGGGAGCCCAGGACAGGTCCCGGCGCAAGCAGTAACAGGACCCGGAGTAGCCCAGGACGGGCCTGGACAGCGCCGGGCGCACGGAGGGAGCTGGGGCCGGGAATGGCCCAGGATCCCCCGGGGCAGCCCGGGGCGCACGGGGGAGTGGAGTGCGGGGATCTCCCGGGATAGCCCCGGGCGCACCGGGGAGCCGAGGCTCGGGACAACCCGGGGGCGCCGCGCCGGGACAGCCGGGTTCGGAGGGCGGGGACTAGACACGCAACCCCAGGGAGAGGGACCGTCGGGGCTGCGCCGGACCCCTCTCCCTTCCCGGTCCGTGCCCGGCGCGAAGGGGCGGCCGCGATCTCCGGCCCGAGCCGGTTGTGGACGGGGCCCGACGGCCGGTTCTGCGCACCGGGCCTCCCATGAATGTGGCCGTAGGCGCCCGCAGCGGGTGCAGCCCCGTGCCCCGGGGCACCGAGCGGGGGTCGGGATGAGGGGATGGAGCGGAACGGAGATGGGGACCCGGACCCCGCGTGCCCGCAATTCTCGGTGGGGACGAAGCCGCTGCCCGCCCGGGTGCGAACTCCCCGGTGCGGGGCCGGAGGGGTGGGGGGGCCTGAGTTGAGCCCCCCCCCGTCTTGGCGGGGTGCGGGGCGGGTAATCCCCCCGCAGCGGTTTCCCCGGACCAGTCATGCGGGGCCGGATTAGCCCGCTCGCCCGTCACGGCCCGGGGCCGCCGCTCTCCATTTCAATTCAAGGGCGGACAAAGCCCGGGCTGGCAGCGGATGGGGGGGGGGGGGGCTCGCACCGGGGACCCCCCCTCACCCCTCCCTCGGCCCAGGGTCTGCTCCAGGCTGGCGGCTCCCGCACTCCCCCCGCCCCGGTTCCCGGCCGGGCCGGGCCGTGTCCGCGCCCTCGGGCCGCCGCCCCGTCGGGGCTCCCGGGGCTGAGGTCAGCGGCCGCGGGGAGGCCCCGGGGCGCGGCAGGGAGGGCCCTGCCCGGGGCTGTGCCACCAACGGCGGGGCCCAGACATCCCCGCTCCATCCCGGGACCCTCCCGGGGTCCCCGCGCCCCTGCTCCCCCCGTCCCGTTTGGCGGCGGACCCAGGACGGAGGAAGTGATGCTCGGGACTCCCCCCCAGCCCCGGGGTGCCCGCGGGAGCGCGCAGCGGCTCCCGCAGCCGTGGGGGGGGGGGGGCGGCGCCGGTGCCAGTCCTGGATGGGGCGGGAGGGGCGGGGGACACGGGTCCCTTCCCGCCGCGCCGAGCACGGGACGGTCGGAGACCGGGACAGCCCCGCGCCCCCTGACGGCCCCCGCCCGGCCCCTGAGCACCGGGGAGGCCTCGGTACCACCGGTACCGGGTCCCCGTGGGGGCCTCATCCCTGTCCCACCAGTGCCGGTTCTGGGGTCCCCGGGGCACCCCTCTCTCCACGTAGCTCCCCCCCCCGGGGCTCTGCCCCCGGTGCCCATAGAGGGGTCACCGGGACCCCCCCTCCCGGTGCATCCCCCGCCCCGCACTGCTGCAGCCGCTGCCATGGTAACGGCTCGCGCCTCTCGCGAGCTCCGCGCCCCTCCTTTCCTCGCGATCCCCCCGGGTCCGGTACGGGGGGGGGGGGGCGGGAAGCGGAGTGCGGGGGGGGGGGGGGGAAGGAGGAGTAAAGGGGGGGGGGGGGCCCACCGGGAGCTCTCGCGAGATCGGCGCGATCGGGCCTCCGCTTCCGGCGGCGGGAGCGGTGCAGAGTCAGCTGCGGGCGGGGGGAGCCACCGGTACCGGCACCGGCACCAGGTCTGGGAGGGCAGCACCGGGGGAGGGGGGGAATCGGCGGGGGGGCGGCACCGGGGGGGCTCTGCACCGCCCGGGGGGGTGGGGATGCGGCGGGGTTTGGGGATGTGGACCCCCGGGGGTTGCGGGCATCGCTCCGGGGGTGATGCGGGGGGGGGGAGCGGTTTGGGGGTGCGGTGCGAGCCAGTGGGGGTGCGTTGGAGGGGCGCATTGGAGCGGAGGGGTGTGATGCGGTCGGGGGGAGCAACGGGGGCGGCAGCAGCTCAGGGGCGGGAGGGGCCCGCCGCGGAGCGGGGGGGCTGCAGCGCGGGGGGGGTCGGGGTTTGGGGGGGTGCGGTTTTGCGCCCCTCACCCCCCCAGAAGTGCTGGGTCCGTGCCTCAGTTTCCTCCAGTGCAGCCTTGGCCTGGCCCCTGTAGGTGCAGCGCGGGGGGGGCACCCCCAGCACGGCCCCTTCATGTGGGGAGCAGCCCCATGGCCGCAGGGTTCTATCCCACACAGGGGTGTCCTCAATGTCTGCACCCCCTCCCCTTTTCCGTGTTTTGAGGGTCACCCCCCAATCCCAGCCCTGTGCCCCCGCAGGATCCGGCCTCGCCTGCGGACGGAGCCAGCGCCGTCGTCACCATGGGCAACATCTTCGGGAACCTGCTGAAGAGCCTCATTGGGAAGAAGGAGATGCGGATCCTGATGGTGGGGCTGGACGCTGCCGGGAAGACCACCATCCTCTACAAGCTGAAGCTGGGGGAGATCGTCACCACCATTCCCACCATAGGTGAGCAGGGCTAAGGGTTTTGGGGGGTCACTGGGCACAGACCCCTCCCCATCGGGGCTCCTTGGGTTGGGGTTCGTGGCCCCCACATGCCTCAGTTTCCCTCCGCTGTTGCTCCTCACAGGGTTCAACGTGGAGACAGTGGAGTACAAGAATATCAGCTTCACCGTGTGGGATGTGGGTGGGCAGGACAAGATCCGGCCCCTCTGGAGGCATTACTTCCAAAACACCCAGGGTAGGTGCCCCGCGGGGACATGGACGGGAGGAACGCGGTCACCGGGGACGGGGGGAACAGTGGGCCGAGGGTCCTGCGCTCCCAGCAGCGCCCGGTCGCTGTCCCCAGGGCTCATCTTCGTGGTGACAGCAACGACCGGGAGCGGGTGAATGAGGCACGGGAGGAGCTCATGCGGATGCTGGCAGAGGATGAGCTGCGGGACGCTGTCCTCCTTGTCTTTGCCAACAAGCAGGTGGGGCTGGGACCATCCCCGGGGTGTCAGGGCTGGTGTCTGGGTGCCTGTGCCCATCCCTGGGTTATTGGGGCTGGTGTCTGGGTCTGGGTGCCTGTGCCCATCCCCGGGTGTCAGGGTCAGTGTCTGGGTGCCTGTGCCCATCCCTGGGGTGTCAGGGCCGGTGTCTGGGTCCCTGTGGCAGCCCCGTCTCTCCCCTCAGGACCTGCCCAATGCCATGAACGCAGCGGAGATCACGGACAAGCTGGGGCTGCACTCCCTGCGCCACCGTAACTGGTACATCCAAGCCACCTGCGCCACCAGCGGGGATGGGCTCTACGAGGGCCTCGACTGGCTCGCCAACCAGCTCAAGAACAAGAAGTGAGCGGGCGGGCGGCTGCAGGCCGCCCCCCCCGGGGCCCCCCCCCCGGACTCCCCCATCCCTGCCCCAGTTGGGTTTTGCTTTCTCTTCTGGCACCAGTTGCTGTGGGGGTCTTTTTCCGCCTTGTTTTGGGGTCTCCCCTCGGATCTCGTGTGTGCGTGTGTGGAAATACAGCTCTATGGATCGTACCTGGGGGGGGACACGGGGGCTGGGTGCCCGGGGGGATCACGCTGGGGTACCCCATCCCCGTGCATGTCCCTCCCCTTCCTCTGGACCAAATGTGGGGGCTGCGGGGCCGCAGGGGGGATTTGGGACTATACACCCCCTCTCCCCCCAACCCCACATTCCCCACCCCGGGGGTCCCACACGTCCCCAGCACCCCCCATGTCACTTTGAGGCAGGTCTCCTCCCCTGCACCCCATCCCTGTGCCAGCATCGTGATTGTATGTCCCAGCCTCTCACGGACAGACGGATGGACGGCCCCATTCTGTACCCCCCCAGCACCATATTTATACCCCCGGTCTGTGCTTGGTGTGACGTGTTGCTGCGGCTCTGCCCCGTCCAGGGACGTGTGTACCCCCCTCCAAGCCCCCTCTCCCTGCGCCTGAGACGGTGGGTGACCCCCAGCCCCCCCTTGGATATTAAACATGTTTTATGTAGGGCTGCCCCACGGCAATTCTTCCACAGCCCCCCCCAGCGCAGGGTCTGGGGAGGGGACAGTGATGGACAGCACCGGGTTGGGTTTAATTAGAAAGAGCTTAACGGGGCGAGGGGAGGCTGGGGGGGGGGGGGAACTCCCCTTTCCCAGGCTCATCCTTAGGAGAATATTGGATGAAATGGTAAATCCCATTAGTGCTAATCCCAGCCGGGGCGTGGGGATGGTGCCAGCGCCAGCATGGCCGCGAGTGGGGCTCAGCCCCCCCATGTCAGGACCTATGCAGGGGACCGGCGTTGCTGTCCCCGTCCCTGTATCTCCCTTTGGGTTGGTGCTGCTGCCACCGCATTGGGGGTTCCCCCTACACGGGAAGGGGGGGGCCGGTGCCCGGGCTTCCCCGGGGTGCTGGGAGCCGCGGAGCCGGTTCCCACCGGTGCCTTTGTGCGGTGAGGACCGGCGCGGCGCTGACCCGGCGGCCATAATCCCATTAATGCCCCGTCCCTCCGCCGCCAGCGCGGCTTCGCCACCTCTCGGCAACCGGGGCTGGTATGTGCGGGCGCCGGTGGGGCCGGCGTGCCGATGCTGTCGTCCGGGAGCTGCGCCCGGGCCTGCGCCGGCAACGGGGCCGCTGTCACCACCGGCGTAGGGCGGGGGAACGGGGCTGCCCCCGTGTCCCAGCGTCCCCTCCCGAGCCGGGGCTGCTCCCGTGTTCCCCAGGGCTCTGCGGTGACCCCAGGGGCAGGGGCTTGGGGGCCCCTCTCCGTGCAGGGCCCGCTGCGGGGCTCAGCTTCCCCTGTCCCGCAGGGGGCCGGGAAGGGCTCTGAGTGCGGGACGAGAGGCGCTCCGCACCAACGGGAGCCGGATCCTGCTCGGTGCCGATTCCTCCGGGCTCTGCTGCCGCCTGCTGGTACCGGTCCCGCCGCCGCTGCCCTGGGACGAGCCCGCCGCCCGGCTCAGCGGGGATCACCGGGGCAGTCACCGGATGGGCACCGGTGCTCGGTGGCAGCCCGGGCTGTGCGGCACCGGAGCACAGGCGGACGTGTGTCCCGGACACCGGAGGGGGGAACCCCCCGCTCCGTCCCCACCGCAGCTCGCTGCTTGTCCCGCAGACCGGTCCCGGGGGGGCGGTCCCGGGGGGGGGAGGCGGGGCCCGGGGTGAGCACGGGGCAGGACGGGGCGGTCTCGGTGCCGCCGCCGCCGCCAGCCCGGCCATGCCGTCCCCCGCCGCGCTGCTGCTGCTGGTTCTGCTACTGCCGCCAGCCCGCGCCGCAGAGAGCGAAACCGAAACCGGGGCTCGGGACCTGCGGCTGGAGACGCTCGTGAGCCGCGGGGGAGCCGGGAGGGGAGCGCGGGAACCGGGGCTGCGCGGGGAGCACCGGGCACCGGACCCCCCCGGCGGCGACCTCGGGCGGTACCGGAGAGTGGGGACCCCGGCGGTGCGGCGGGGAACGGGAGCAGCGGAGGGAAGCGGCTGGGTTGGGGGTACCGAGGCAGGGAGTACGGCTCACGGGGCCCCCGGGGGGCACGGAGCGGGGTCCGCGCACCCCGAGGATGGGGTGAACCCGTCCCGGTCCCCCGTGATCCCGTCTCGTTGCAGGTGCCCCCCCCCGAGGGCTGCACGGAGCTGTCGGCGCCGGGGGACACGGTTCACATCCACTACACGGTGCGCGGCGGCAGGAACACGTCAGCACAGCGCTGCGCCGGGCGGGGCGGGGGGGCGGCTCCGGCACCGGGGGGGGGAGCACCGGGGTGGGCATAGGGGCAGTACCGGGGAGGTTCAGGAGCAGGCGTGAGGATGGCAAGGGGGTGGCACTTGGGTGACCCTGGCACTAGGAGCAGCGTGGGGAGGTCCCCAGGGTGGCACCGGGGTGGGCGTGGGGATGGCACCAGGATCTGCGTTGTCCTGCGGAGGACAACGGGAACTGCCTGGGGTGGCAGTGGGACAACGCCGGTACCTGTGTGGGGCAGAGCCAGCCCGGGCGCCGGTGCCAGTGCCGGTGATGGAGCCGGTGTCCCCGCAGGGCAGCCTGGAGGACGATGGCCGCATCATTGACACCTCATTGAGCCGGGACCCGCTCCAGGTGGAGCTGGGCAAGCACCAGGTCATCCCCGGTGAGCACAGGGGGTCCCGCGGGATGTCACTGCCTGTGCCCAATGGGCTTTGGGGTGCCCCCGGCCAGCCCTGCTCACCCGTTTACCCCCCGATTCCTCACAGGCCTGGAGCAGAGTCTGCTGGACATGTGTGTTGGGTAAGCTGGGCAAGGGGCACAGGGGAGTGTCCCCAGGGCCACCTGGGGTGTGGGTCTAGCCCCACAGGGCACTAACAGTGTCTCACCATGGCAGGGAGAAGCGGAGAGTCATCATCCCCCCTCACCTGGCCTACGGCAAGCGGGGGTCTCCCCCGTCCATCCCAGGTGAGTGCAGCCCCTTGGGGTCCCCGTGGGGTCTCCGCCAGCCCCACTGAGGCTCTGTCTCCCCATCGCAGGGGAGGCGGTACTGCGGTTTGAGGTGGAGCTGGTGGCTCTGTCCCGCGCCGGTTACTGGCAGAAGGTGCTGAACAAGGTGGTGCCCCTGCTGTGCTTGGGGCTGGTGCCAGCGCTGCTGGGGCTCATCGGGTGCCACCTCTACCACAAGGCCAGCAGCACCAGGCTCTCCAAGAAGAAGATGAAGGAAGAGAAGAAGAACAAAGCCAAAAGGAAATAAATCCTTTCCCTGGGCATCTGTGGCTGCTCCATGGCTGCATGCGGCTCTGAGGTGCAGAGACACCTTGAACACAAGCGGGAGGTGACAGACCCACACCAAAGCTCAGCTTATTTCAGAAATAAGACCCCGGAGCACAGTTTTGTGTGCAATTTAGCTCCTTTATGGCACCTCCAGGCTGTCCCAGTCACTGCAGTGTCCGGGGCTGCACTGGGGGGTCTCAGGCAGTGCTGGTGGAGCCATGGATGGGCTGAAGGTGGGTCTTGGGATGCACAGCGCAGTTACCGCCGGTGTGGGGCAGGGCCCTGGGGATGCAGCTCTTGTGCTTGACGGCGAGGAGCGGGTTGGGCTCGCTCAGCACCTCCTGCGGGATGGAGATCCCGTCCAGGTACTGCCGGAGCAGGTCCCGCAGGCGCCGGTTCCTGCGGCTCAGCGCCGCCCTCTGCTGCTCCAGCGCCTGCTCCTCCAGCTTCGCCTTGTTGAAGCGCTGCCAGAAGCGCTCCAGCCCGGCGTAGTCCTGCACGGCCTGGGCAAGAGGCAAGGCAAGGGGTCCTCAGCCTGGCCATGGACCATTCCCAAGCCCGGATCCGGCCCCGAGCCCCACGGGGGGCTTCAGCTCCTCACCCAGGCCAGTGCCTCCACTGGTGTCTCCTGGAGGACTTGCCGGGCATCTTCCTCCTCCTCCTCCTCCAGCGAAGATGGGTAAAAGGGCAGCACCTTCTCCTCCTCCGTCTCCATCCTGCGGCACATCTCGGCCAGGCGCAAGATGTGCTGGGCCTGGGGGGGATGCAAGAGAGGGCAGGGAGGGCTGGGTAGGTGGAATTCCCACCCTGAGGGGCTCTCAGCACCTCTCACCTTCTCTGTCACCCGTGCCAGCGCCTTGAGGGCAGCACCGCTCTGCAGGGTGAGTCTGAGGAGGCTGTCGTGGGCATCAGTGCCCATCTGGTTCATCTCAGTCCTGAGCTCCCGGAGCTGCCCGAGGACCTTCTCCTTCTCCTCCCGCATGCGCCGGTTCTGCTCCTCGCTCTCCTGGATGAGAGCCACAAGTCGGCTCCTGATGGCTGTGATCGAGCCCTGGGGACGGTGGGAATGTGATGGACGGGGCCATGAGGATGGGGATGGGGTCCCCAGTGCCCCCACTTTCACCCCTGTGCCCTGCTGCAACCTGCAGCTTCTGCAGCTTCTTCGTCTGCGTCTCCACCTCCCTGGAGCTCTTCTCGTCCTTCTGCTTGAGCACCTCGAAAGCTACCCTCTGCTGCTCGGTGGCCTCGGCATAGCCCTGCAGGGTGCTTTGGACCTGCTTCCAGAGCTCCTCCAGCTTTGCCCCAATCTGCAGGCGGGTGTACTGCTTCTCCTGCAGACTCTGGGCACGGGCACAGGCACAGAGCGTGTCAGCCACCACTCCCCAAACCTCACCCTTGAAGGCTCCCTGCCGGTTCCTGCCCCTGCCCCTGCCTCGTTTTTGATGTCGTCCAGGGAACTCTGGAATTTCAGCGTGATGTCCAAGTCGTTCTTGGCCTGATTCTGCTCCGTGCCCAGCGCCACGTCCTGCAGGTAGCAGCGTTCCCGCTCATGCTGCTCCACGATGGTTCTCCTGTGGGAAGCACAGGGGAGCTGCTGGCAGAGGGTGGCTCCAGCAGGGTGCTCAGCACCAGCACAGGACAGGCAGCGGGTGCCACTGTTGCCCCCCTGCTCCTGCCGCACCTCTCCTCCTCGAAGGCAGCCTGCATGGCCTGGAGGTGGGCCCGGTACCCGTCCTCCAGGCACGCCAGGCGGCAGCGCTGCAGCTGCAGCAGCCGGTCCATATTGAGCAAGTGGCTGCGCAGGGCTCGGCCGTGCTGCTCCTCCGCCTCCTCCAGGTCTGCGGCCAGGGCCTGCAGGGTCGGGGCTGTCACAGAGCGCAGGGGCTCCCGATGCTGCCGCGGCCCCACCGGACCCGCGCTCACCTCGATGACGCCGTCCTTGCAGTCCATGACCCGTGCGAAGGCCCGGCTGAGGACATGCACATCCCGGCGCAGCTCCGAGGTCTTGGCCTCCCGCAGCACCGCCCTCCATTGCTCGTGGAGCTTGTGCAGGCTCAGGGCGCTGCTCTGCTCCTCCTGGGCCAGCTTGTGCTGAGCGGGGCACGGCCGTGAGCAGGAGCGGGGGCAATGGGGGGGGGCACCCGGCTACCCCGTCCCGTAGCCCCCCTGGTACCTTCAGGAACCGGGTGAGCATCTCCCCCTTCCTCTTGGCCGCCTCCTCCTCGGCCAGCGCTTGGCTCTGAAGCAGCAGGAGCTTGTCGTCCGCCGACACGGCGACTGCTGCCCGGGAGCGGCGCTTCCCGGCCATGGCGGCTGTGCCCGGGCGCACGGGGTGAGGCGGGAGGTCCCGGCCCCCCCCATCTCCTCCCCGTTGGGGTCCCCTCTAACACCCCCCACACTTTGGGGTCCCTCCAGCCCCCCCTTCACCCCTCCCTGTCCACGATCCCGGTACCGAATGCGCCCCACAGCACCCACCGGCGTCCCTCCGGTCTCCTAGCAACCGCCACTTCCGGCTTGGGCGGGAGCAGAGCCCCGCTTCCGCGGTCAGCCAGACGGGGCGCCCCCTGGCTTGGAGGACCGGCCCCAGGCCGGACCCCTCCTCTCCGCCATTGGTCTGCGAGCCGGGAGTCGCCGCGGTGATTGGCTATCGGGCGCCGCCGTGGGCGGGGCTCGGCGGCGGCGGCTTATATAACGGCGCTGCGGCGGCGGGGCGCAGGGCCGGCTGGTGGGTGTCGTGTGGGGGCCTCCGCGCCGCCGCCATGCGGGAGCGGAGGCCGGTACCGGCGGTCCCGGCCCGCTGCAAGCTGGTGTTGGTGGGCGATGTGCAGTGCGGTAAAACGGCCATGCTGCAGGTGCTGGCCAAGGACTGCTACCCCGAGGTGAGCCGGGACCGGCACCCAGCACCGGGCACCGGCACCGGGGCCGGGCGCTGACGCTCTCGGTGCCGTTACAGACGTACGTGCCCACCGTGTTTGAGAACTACACAGCGTGTCTGGCCAGCGAGGAGCAACGGGTGGAGCTGAGCCTCTGGGACACCTCCGGTACCGGGGTCAATGCACTGGGATGGGTTCCCTCCGGTACCGGGGGGTGCATGAACGGGGGTTCCCTCCGGGGCGGGGGCAACGCTGGCCCTGGTGGGGCTTGGTGTGGGCGGGGGTTATCGGGGAGGGTGGTTTGGGGTCTATGGGGTTGGGGGGCTGCAGCAGAGGGAGGCCTGCAATGGGGGGGGGGCTGGCATAGGGCCCCCCCGGGGACCGGCCCCATGGGGTGCCATAGTGTAACCCCCTTCCTAACGGGGTTTCCCCATCCCTATGACCCCCCCGTTCGATATTGGGGCGCTGCGTCCCTGCGGGGCTGCCTGTGAATGGGGGGGTAACGGGGACCCCGGGATCTGCCGCTCCCCGCGGCGCTGGGGGGGCCGGGACAGCCCTGCCCGGGTGCTGCAGTGTCCCCTCCGCCCGAGGGGGGGTCCCCGCCACCCGCGGTCCCCGCGTTGCCATGGCGATGCGCTGGCGCAGCCTCTTTGCTATTCCACGCACGGAGCGTCTGGGCTGCGAAACCCCCTCCGCGGCCCTTCGGGGTCTGGGGGTGGCGATGGGCCCCCCCCCGGGGCCCCCCAATACCCACAGGGGCTCCCCACTGCCCCCACGTGTCCCCCCCCCCGTGCCGACTCTCCCTGCGGTCCCCACGGTGGTGCCAGTGACTCTGGCTCCCTGGGGACCCCATGGAGGGTGGCAGCGGTCCCCCCATGTCCCGCTGCCCCCCCCAAGGCCCGGTGCTGCTGTTGGGGCTCCCCAGCGGGGGGGGGGGTGGGGTGGGGGGGGTGGTTGTTACATAAACACCACGGGATCCATTTCCCGTCGCTGATGGGCTGCGGGGAGCGGAGGTGGTGCTTTGGAGGGGGGTTAGAGCTGCTTGTGCCCCCCCCCGCTCTGGCAAAGGGGGGCTGTGACCCTTTGCCATCACCTCCAGGGTCCTTTATGGGGGTGCTGTGTGGTGACACCCCCTTTTCCACCCAGGTTCTCCCTACTATGACAACGTGCGTCCCCTCTGCTACAGTGACTCGGATGCTGTCCTGCTCTGCTTTGACATCAGCCGCCCTGAGACCCTGGACAGCGCGGCCAAGAAGGTGTGGGTGGCATGGGGAGGGGGGGGGAGGCTGTTTTGGGGTCCCCTCACACTGACACCAGCACTGTGTCCCCCCCATTCTGCAGTGGAAAACAGAGATCCTGGACTATTGCCCCAACACGCGGGTGCTGCTCATCGGCTGCAAGACAGACCTAAGGACAGACCTGAGCACCCTCATGGAGCTCTCCCACCAGAAGCAGGCACCCATCTCCTATGAGCAGGTTGGGGGGTGCCGGGGGGGGTGTTGGGGTGCTCGGGGGGGGTTTGGCCTCACCAGGGGCTGTTGCAGGGCTGTGCGGCCGCCAAGCAGCTCGGAGCAGAGGGTTACCTGGAGTGCTCGGCCTTCACCTCGGAGAAGAGCGTCCACAGCATCTTCCGGACCGTGTCTGGCATCTGCCTCAGCAAACCCCCCCTGCAGCCCCCTCGGAGCCCCCCCCGCAGCCTCTCCAAGAGACTCCTGCACCTCCCCAGCCGCTCTGAGCTCATCTCCTCGACCTTCAAGAAGGAGAAGGCAAAAAGCTGCTCCGTCATGTGAATGGGGGGCTGCCTGCCAATGAACCCCCTCACCCCCCACTCCCCCCAGTGTCTTCCTGCCCTGAGTCCCCAGGATGGGGTGGGGGGGGCTGGCCCTGGAGCCCCCCCTGATGCCAATGGGGTGCCTGTCCCCCTCCCATCCACCCTGCTTCCAGCCCCCATGGAGCTGCCATGGGTGGGGGTGGGTCTCGAGGGAGGGTGATTGGCAGCCCCCCCCAACCCCGGGGGGGCTCATTCATGGACTCATCCCTTTTTACCCCACCCTGTCCCTCATCTGCTGCTTGCCCCCGGTGGGGTGGGGGGCGCTGTGGGGGGGGGGGGTAGCTGTTTTATGGACTGTCGTTGGGGGGGGGGGGGGGGGTGGTGTCTCTATTCCATGGTCAGTGTTATTAAAAGCTTATTTATTATCGGAAATATAATGCCCACCGACGTGCAGTGGGAGTGGAGTCCTCTTTTGGGGGGTGTCGGGGTTCAACGGGGAGGGGGGGGGGGCTCAAAAGGGGTCTTTCCCGCTCGGGAATGAGGGTCACGGGGGGGTGTCACGGTAGGGCCGGGGGGAGCCGCGCTGCCGGCGGAGGGAGCCGCGCGTCGCGGCGGTGCTGCGGCCGCGGGGGCTGCTGGGAGTTGTAGCCCCTGCGCGGAGGCGGCCTCGCCTTCCCAGCGTGCCCCGCGGCGGCCATGGCGGCAGCGGGACGCTGAGGCCCGGAGCGGCGGCGGTGGCGGTGAGCGGGGCCGGGGGTTACGCGGGGGCTGCTGGAGCCCCCGAGCGCCGGAGCGGGTCCCCGGGGCCGGGCCCTGCTCCCTCCCGGGGCCGGCTCCCTGACGCTGTCTCCGCAGATGGCCGGGGAGCTGGCGGACAAGAAGGAGCGGGACGCGTCCCCCGCAGCCAAGGAGGAGCGGAAGCGCTCCCGCTCCCCGGACCGCGACCGGGACCGCGACCGGGACCGCAAAGGTTCCCCCGCCAAGGACAGGAAGCGGCACCGGTCCCGGGACAGGCGGCGGGGGAGCCGCTCGCGCTCCCGGTCCAGGTCCAAGTCAGCGGAGAGGTGAGGGGGGGGCTCCCCCCGAAGGGCGGGGGGGTGCTGGGGGGGGGGGGGGGGGGCGGGGTTGGGCCATAAGGACCCCGCTCCGTAGGGATCGGCGGCACAAGGAGCGCGACCGGGACCGGGGCAAGAAGGAGCGGGACAAGGATGGGCACCGGCGGGACAAGGACAGGAAGCGCTCGAGGTGAGCCCCGGGAGGCTTGGGGGTGCCCCTGCTCCTCCAGGAGCGGCTCTGCGGGGCCCCGGCGCTGTGCTCGGTTCCTGATCCCCGGTTCTTGGCTGGAAGCTTGTCCCCGGGCAGGGGGAAGGATTCCAAGTCCCGGAAGGAGCGGGATGCGCGCAGAGCAGATGAGGAGGAGGAGAACACCCTGAGGAAGGACAAGGTGAGGAGGGATTCGGCTGGGAATGGCTCTGGGAATGTGGGAATCCCTCTGGCGAGGCAGAGCCCCCACTGGGCTGATCGGCTCGTCCCACATCTGCAGGCACAGCCGCTGTCCTTGGAGGAGCTGCTGGCCAAGAAGAAGGCTGAAGAGGAGGCGGAATCCAAGGTGGGAGCTGGAGCTGAAGCCTCCCCCCTGGGATGGGATGGATGGGATTTGAGGGGGGGGCACTTCCAGACCTGCTGTGACCCTGCCCTTCTGTCCCAGCCCAAGTTCCTGTCCAAGGCGGAGCGGGAGGCTGAGGCGCTGCGGCGACGGCAGCAGGAGGTGGAGGAGCGGCAGCGCCTGCTGGAGGAGGAGAGGAAGAAGAGGAAGCAGTTCCAGGAGATGGGGAGGAAGATGCTGGGTAAGGGGATGCCCCCCCCGGAGCCCTCCCGGCCCTACGTGGGGTTGTACTGGGCTCTGAGCCCTTCTCGTGCTCCCCAGAAGACCCCCAGGAGCGGGAGCGACGGGAGCGCCGGGAGCGTATGGAGCGGGACACAAACGGCACCGAGGATGAGGAGGGCAGGCAGAAGATCCGGGAGGAGAAGGACAAGAGCAAGGAGCTCCACGCCATCAAGGTGGGTCTGGGGTGACCCTGGGAGGGCTGCGGAGGGGATAGAACTCTGCCACTGAGCCTCTGCTCCCCAGGAGCGGTACCTGGGTGGGGTGAAGAAGCGGAGGCGGACGCGGCACCTCAATGACCGCAAGTTTGTGTTTGAGTGGGACGCCTCAGAGGACACCTCCATTGACTACAACCCGCTGTGAGTGGGGGGGTCCTGGGGCTGGGGGGGGTTCCCTGGGGGTGTGGAGCAGCTCCTGATGCACCCACCCCTTGCTCCAGGTACAAGGAGAGGCACCAAGTGCAGCTCCTGGGCCGGGGCTTCATCGCAGGCATCGACCTGAAGCAGCAGAAACGGGAACAGTCACGTTTCTACGGGGACCTCATGGAGAAGAGGCGGACACTAGAGGAGAAGGAGCAGGAGGAGTGAGCTGGGGGGGGGGGGGGCCCAGGGGCTCTGCTGGGCCTGGGCGCAGCTTGGATGAGGGCAGGATGGTTCTAGCCTTCCCACAGGGTGAGCCCCAGCCCCTTCCTTACCCACACCCAGGGCTCGGCTGCGGAAGCTGCGGAAGAAGGAGGCGAAGCAGCGCTGGGACGACCGGCACTGGTCCCAGAAGAAGCTGGATGAGATGACGGACAGGGACTGGCGCATCTTCCGCGAGGATTACAGCATCACCACCAAGGGGGGCAAGATCCCCAACC